GCTTCGTCAAGACTTGACGGGGCCATCACATCTTCTGACCACCCCATAGCGAAGTAGAGTCTCGCTCGTTGCGCCAGCACAGCAGAGAGTTCGTATTTGGAGGAGTATATCCCCTGATCGGCGGCTTATCAGGGAGAGACAACATGAACTTTGTGAGCTTATCTTTGAAGTGCTCTAGATCTTGAATGACATTCAGATGGTAGGGGATTGCATTCCACAATTTAGGTGAGGTTTGCTGTTGAACTGGTTCTACGTTTTGATGGAATTACTGCAAGGTTTCCAAGCCTTGGGCGTGAAACAAATAGAACGTTCAGATCATTGCTGGTCTTTCCGTGGAGGATTTTCCACATATGGAGAATGATGAATCGCTCCCGCCTTCGTTGAAGAGACATCAGAGATAGATAGACCAGGCGATCCCAGTAGTGGAGATCGCGCATTCCTGATATTCTGGCGGTGAATGCTTTCTGTACACTCTCCAGTTCTTGGATATCGCTGATTTTTGAGGGATGCCATAATGGACAGCAATATTCAATCAGACTTCGAACCATTGATTTGTATAGCGTCAGCATGATGGAGTGAGATCGTGTGTGAAATACATTGAGAACCCATGATGCTTTTTGGCGAGCTTTATCTGCAATGGCTCGTATGTGAGGGGACCAAGAGAGATCACTTGACACTATAACGCCTAAATCCCTGAGCTGATGTATTGGCTCAAGTGTAGTGTCTTTGGAAACTGAGTATTGATAGTGTTCAACCACAAATGGAAGTTCAGATAGTACATATTGGTGGTTGAATTTATGACACATGTACTCAAATTTGTCTTTGTGAAGGGCCATATTATTTCTTTCAGACCAGTCAATGACATTTTGCAGATCTTCTTGGAGGAGCTTGACGTCATGCTCCGATTTGACAGCAATGGATATGCGAGTGTCATCAGCAAAACATCGAATTATAGAGTGCATGATACAATGTTCGATATCATTGATAAAAATCAAGAAAAGGATCGGCCCCAAAACCGTACCTTGTGGAACTCCGCTGATTATCAGTGCAAGGATGGACAGATGACCGTCAACAACAACTGCTTGTTTCCGGTCTGAGAGGAAAGATTCTATCCACTTTATGATTTTAGGATGGATTCCATAGAGTTGGAGCTTTCTCAGTAGGAGTTTGTGATCGACTTTATCGAAAGCCTTGGCATAGTCGAGGTATATTGAATCAAAATCTGAATTGTTGCTCAGAGAATCCAAAACGTCATCAAAGTGGTGGAGAAGTTGAGTAAGGCAACTCCGGCCAGATCTAAATCCGTGCTGCTTACTACATATGAGGTTATTGATCTCCAAATAGTTTACCAGCTTTTTTCTTATCACCCTCTCGTATACTTTAACCACATGAGAGGTGAGTGATATAGGTCGGTAGTTAGCTGGTTTGGCTCGACTATCCTTCTTGTGGAGAGGAAATACGTGTGAGAACTTATAGAAACTAGGGACCTCCCCAGTAACTAAAGAGCGGGACCAGATGATGTGCATTGGTTCTGCTAGGGCTTTCTTGCAGTTCTTGAGAAGGGTGACTGGAATTTCGTCAGGACCTGATGCAGCATTAGGTTTGATGTCTTCAATGGCCTTAATGATGTCGTCCACGGAGAAATTCAGCAGATCGTCAGTAAAAGGATACTTGATTGGAGGAAGACTGAAAGAAGCAGAGTCGATCCGAGTTTTCGAAGGATCACTGAATACTGACAAGAACTGATTCTGCAAGAGGTTGGCAATATCTTCTGGATTTGATTTGATGGCACCGTTTCCATCAAAAAGCATGCTGATGTTGCTTTTCTTCTTCGAAAATTTCTTAGCGTAACTATAGAAATACTTGGGATTTTCTTTTACTAAATTTACCTTGCTTACGGCTTGCTGTTCACGGTACAGGAGATCCTGGTTGATGGCATCACGAATATCCATATGAGCGAGAGCAAGTTTCCGGTTCAAAGATTCAATCTGTGTGGGAGGGCTATGGGGATTACTTTTTGCAGCCTCTAGCTGGGTTTGAAGCTTTCGTTTTCTGCGAGATGGGATTCGCACAGATGAGCGAGTTTGGGTTATGGGAGGGATCTTCTTCGGACAGCCAATCTGACAGATTTGTAGAGTAATACGAGTGAATAGCTCTGGAAAATCCTCTTTGTCGCAAAGGTTGATGAGTTGAGCCCTACAACTTAAGGCTTATGCTGGTAGTCGGGTGCCACGCCGTAGAGTCCGGACCCCGTTGGAGTTAATACCTTGAGTTATTATATTAACAAATAAACACAGCGACTTAATTAGAAGGAATAATATAAAAATTTTACTGATTTTTCTGTGACCACAGCTTCTTCAGAAGTAATATCCAAAACATTCAAAAAAATAATTCGGTCAAGTTCAAAAGTCACTGTCAAGCTGATAAATGAAATAATAAACATTCAATGTATTCTATGCGGCTAGTTAACAATCGCCCAAACATTGAACTTGATTATTCTTTAAGATCGAAATTAAAATCCCAAATCTTTAACGAGACTGGTTACTGGTTACTAGGCTACTGATTACTAGGTCACTGGTTACTCGGTAAAAACTCGGTGACTAGTAGTAGTAATAGTTTCTAAAGTATTAGGATGAGTAGAGGTAGAGCTGCAGCCAGTGAAAAGGAGAACGATACAGCGTGAGGCTCAGACTGTATATCATTATCAGCGTAAGACTCAGAGTCAGACTGGATATCACCTGAAAGAGTTATAATTAAAAATTGAGAAATATTGAGGAGCACTATCTACTACAGTTTGGGAGAAAGGAAAAAGCCGCGGTAAATTGGGGTTTGCGGTAAATCGGGGTTTGCGGTAAATCGGGGTTTGTGGTAAATCGGGGTTTGCGGTAAATCGGGGTTTGCGGTAAATCGGGGTTTTACTATATTACAGAATGGTTTAACTCAGAAACAATTATAAAATCTACCACGGCCACAGTTCTCTTTCTTCTGGTGATCTCATCACTTTCAGACCCAACCCAGAATAGTTATCACTGACATTTTTACTTACTTGTACTTGGAAAGGTCTCCTCCTAGTCGTTGGAGTGGCCTGCACCACATAGTAACTCCTTTCTCCGGTGTATTAGACCTCTCCAGTGAACCCTGTCTGTAGCTTGTTGTTCTGCATCTTCTATCGTGATGTTATCGACACCTGTGAAGATTGCTGCATCCTCCCGGACACATGACAACCAGTTTTTCCTAGGTCTACCTCTTGACCTTTTACCATGCTTTGGGATCCAGTGCAGAAGATAGTTGGGTATTCTTTCTTCTGGCATCCTCACCACATGGCCAAACCATCGGAGTCTAGCTGCTCGTACGAAAGTATCAACAGGGGCGATGTTAGCCCGCTTAAGTACATCAGCATTAGATACATGATAAAACCATTTGATTTTCAGGATTCTCCTCAGACATCTATGATGGAACACCTCAAATCTTTTCATCTGCGTCTGTATGGTATTCCATACCTCACTTCCATAGAGCAGTATAGTGAGAACAGCCGCTTTGTAAATCCTGATTTTTGTTGGAGTCTTGATGCTGCGACTGTACCATATACTGCTAAGCTGATAGAATGCCCCAGAGGCCTTTTGAATTCGAGCTGATAGTTCTTTGTCAATTGTTCCATTTGCACTGATGATTGCACCGAAGTAAGTGAAATTGCTGACCTGCTGTATTGGGAGACCTTCCACATTGATGTCCATAGTGTCGTCTTTAGAATACGGCCTCTGCGATGCACTTTTGCTGACAACCATGCTCTGTGTTTTGCCAGCATTAATCTTCAGACCCGCATAGGCACTGTATTTGCAGAGAAGGTCAGTGGTTTCCTGCAGCCCCTCTTTTGAGTTATCTAACATGGCCATGTCATCAGCGTAATCAGTGTCCAAGAGATGTTTCTCTTCTACCCCGGGGGCTGGTAGCTGTAATAAAGCCCCCTTGCTAATGACCTTGTTTAGTTCCATAAGGTATGCGATGCCGAAAAATTCAAACAAAAGTTGAATACTGGTGGTCCCTGTATATCACCTTGCCCAGTACCCGAGTTGACATCAAACCAACCTGTAACCTCTCCATTGACCCTAACAGCACTAACTGTGTGAGTGAAGAACGCCTTCATAATTCTAATGTACTTGTCAGGTAATCCGTAGTGCTGCATACTTCTCCAAATGAACTGCCTGTCAATCGAATCAAAAGCTGCTTTGAAATCAACAAAATTAATATACAGAGGGATATTTTATTCAATGCATTGGTGTATAATACAGCGGAGTGAATTAACCTGGTCAATACATGAGCGATTCTGTCTAAAACCACTTTGATTCTCCCGGAGGAATTTTCCCATGCCATTGCTAAGTCTCCGCAGGAGTATCATTTGCAGGAGCTTCGAGGCTGTGGATCTTAATGTAATGCCTCTGTTGTTAGCGCAATGAGAGGTGTCACCTTTCTTTCCAACGATGATGATAACACCTTTGGACCAATCCTCAGGAATCTTCTCATCTTCCCACACTTTCTTGAACAACACAACTAGTTGATCGACCAACCCATCCTGTCCATACTTAAGTTGCTCGTTGGTGATACCATCCACTCCTGGACTTTTGTGATTCTTGAGTTTTTTGAGGGCATCAACAATATCGTTTCTTGTAGGAGCTTCATCCGAATCGGAGAGGTCGTCAAAACTGGGTTGCGGAGGGATGTTGTCTAGGTCAGAAATATTGGCCTCTTGCGGGGGAGGGTTCAATAGCCTAGATAAGTGCTCTTTCCACCTTTCTTTCTGGGCATGTGGGTCGGCAATCAACTGGCCAGATGCGTCTCTAACTGCAGTTGACTGCTTCTTCTTCTTTCCAGATATGACATTGATCTTCTGCCATACCTGAACCTCACGTTGCTGACCTTTTCTCGCAGCTTCTTCCAAGTCATTTGCCATTCTACGTGCCCAGTTGTTATCGTCCACCTTGCTACTTTTTTAAAGAGCTTATTCAATCTAGAATACTCTGACCTGTTAGCGTTCGAATTAGGGTCTTTACGCTTAAATTCCTTACGGTTCTTCAATAATTCTTTTGTCTTCTGAGATTGGTGCCTGTCCTTCTTTTTTCGAGGTCTTTGCCCAAGGATTTCCATGGAAACTTGTTGGACAGTTGTCTTGAAGTTGTCCCACATTGATTCCAGGTCAACCTCAGGTTCCAAACAGTCAAATTTGTTTCTCAGAACAATATTGTATTCGGAAACAAGTGAATGATCACGCAGATGCTCAATAGCAGGAATCTCAAGCTTACGTTCCTGCTTCTTTTTCACTGACATAAGCTTCATTCTCAGTCGTGCTCTTACCAAATAGTGATCAGACCCAATGTCAGCCCCCCTACAAACTTTTACATTTAGCAAAGAGCCTCCAAACTTCTTACTGATACAGATGTGGTCTATTTGGTTTACAGTACGACCATTAGGCGATCTCCACGTACCTTTATGTAATATGTATATCCTTTTGCTGAAACATAGTGCCACCGATGGTAAGTTGGTGGGCAATGCAAAAGTCCAACAATCGGGTACCATTGTCATTTGATGAGCTGTGAAGCGAGTGTCCACCAATGACACCTGACATAGAACTGCAGTCCGATGTGACCTTAGCATTAAGATCACCGAGCAGTAATTTTAAATCATGTCGGGGTAGCTCATCGAATGCACTTGACAACTGCTGGTAGAATTCATCCTTATCATTATCTGAAACCCCCTCAGTTGGCGCATATGCCACAACAACAGAGATGTTCAGGTGTTGACTATGCAGCCTTGCACTCAACAAACGGTCAGATATTGGTAGATAGGAAATTAATGAATTTTTAGTCCTCTTTGAAAGGGTAAGACCGACACCTCGCCTTCTTATACCGTCCGTCCTCCCTGAATAAATAAGTAAGGAGCCATTATCCAGTAGCTCTGATCCTGTACCAGGCATATGGGTCTCAGTTATACCCAGCAAGTCCAACTTATACTCAGAGATATTCTCTGATAGCTGGAACAACTGACTTGAACTACTTGTCAGAGATAATACATTCCATGTCCCAAATGTAAGACCTGTTTTAGAATAATTCGCTGGCTGTTTCTTATTAGAGTCGGAGTCCACATGGGTGATCTGTGGAGAAATAAATCTGCTACAATGACGTGTTCTCCCAACACTCATCTGGCCACGGGGGTCCCTTAGGCTTTGCCCCGCCACCTTCATACTGGTATCATCCGTCCTTGCAGAGGGAGCCACACACCGTTTCTTGTTGTTACTTTGTGATGTTTCTGCAGCAAATGTTTAGAGAGGAGAAGTTGCCAGCATCTCGCACCCGGCTTTTTATCGACCTTTGCCTGTCTAGATCCATAGTGTTTTGTTGCACGTCATCTGTTTAAACTGGAATCACCCAGGACAGATTACAATGCTTAATAGTAGCACCTCGAAAAGGATGTGATTCTTCATCACGCACTATGGTCATTGGAATGGGAGAGGTTATCATGGTTACACGATCACTATTCCCTGAGATTAATAATAATCTCTTGCCACTGACATTTGAACTATTGTTAATTAAAAACTCACAATATTGCAGTCTGTAAACTACGGCTCCCTCCATGAGCTGGTTGGCATTTTTTTTTTTTTTAAAGAGAGGCTGGGCCAAGATAGCCCACGAGAGGATAGCATTGAGATGCTCTGCCTACCTCTGGGGTGTGGCAACCTTGGGGAAGGTTGCCGGTGAAATCAGAGTGATTGGTGGAGGATGGTGTAAGATGATATATGAGTCAAAATGATACGCTTAAATGCCAGCTGGGTTTGGAAAAGTAAAACGAGACGAGACAGCATATGAGATAATACTTTAAGTCACCCCGGTCTGATCCAGCTCTTCCGGCACAATTAAGCGTTTGGTGCGGTTTGCGAAATTGACAATTGTGGTGATGTGTTGGTTGTCGAATATGTCATTGACAGAGAGGTAGTAGTCCTGGAAATATTGACCTCTAATTTGGGCAATAGCTGGACACTGTCCAAGGAAGTGTGAGACAGTTTCCTCTCCGTCGCCGCACATAGGACAAGCACTGGTGTTTGATTTGCAAATGGTGTGAAGGTGTTTGTTTAAGCCGCAGTGACCCGTGATGAGGTGAACTGCAGTTCTGTAATCTTGTCTGTTTTTGCTGAGTGTAGTGTTGAGGTTTTTGATGATTTTGGCATGCTTGTGGCCGAGTGTCAGTTTGGTGTGTCTGGGACCGTCAGTTAACCAAGTTTCCTGATTCAGTCTGTTGACTTTGTTGTCGATTTGACGCTTGATGTAGGATTGTGGAATTGGACACTTTAAAGTGGATTCACTGGTTGTACCAAGCTTGGCCAGCTCATCTGCTTTTTCGTTCCCCCACAATCCGATGTGTGCTGCAATCCATCGTATCTCTAGCGTGTTGTTGGATCCGAGTGCATTAAGAGAGTCGTAACAGTCTCTTGTAGTTCTACTCCGCGTTGAAAGCGCAGAGATAGCTTGTATAGATGAGAGACTGTCAGACCATATGATGATATGTGTGTTGGTATAGGTAGAGAGATATTTGCAAGCTTCAATGATGGCGGTGAGCTCTGTTTGGTAAACAGTGCAATAATCAGGGAGCTTGAATGATCTTTCTTCAAGGGTGGTGTTATTGTTGTCAGTTGTGATGATATAGCCAGCCCCGCATCCTGAGTCTGTGAGTGACCCGTCAGTGTAGCAGGTGATTGTTTCACTGGTAATGTTGTCAATGGTGTTTTGAAGTGAATTTCTATATTCAGTGGTATCGGCTCCAGGAGTTGTGACGGTGAAGTGCCGTCCCAGCATCATGGTTGGTGTTGTTAGGTCTCTTGTTGCTCTAGGTGGGATAATGAGGTCTGCCATGAATTGTTTGTTGATAGTGGTATGATTTTTGATAGTTCCCTTCCTGAAGGCGATAGTTTCAAGAGTGAGGCTGCCATAAGCTTGTAGCCTGGCCGCACCCTTTGCTGCTTCACCTTGCAGGAACAGTATGATGTCAGAAGTGTCGGTGAGGTGATTCAATGCGATAAAAGGTGTGCTTGGCATGGCACCAGACATCATTCTGAGTGCCAATGCCTGAACACGTTTGAGTTTCTTCGCGTTATAGTCCGTTTGAGTGGCCCTGATCCATATACTACAGCAGTAGGATAGGATTGGACGGATGACAGCCGTGTACATCCATTTGCATGTTTTGGGGCTCATACCCCATGTGGGGCCGACAGCTCTTCGACATTGCATGAGGGATGCCGTGGCTTTTTTGGTGGTGTTGATGATATGTTCATTGAAGTTGAGTTTGCTGTCCAAGGTCACTCCTAGAAATTTAGCAGACTTGGAAAGATCTATAATGTTGTTGCCAACTGTTATAGGTCTTAGAGTCCACTTACTATTCCAGGTAAACATGACTATCTGAGTTTTAAGGGCGCTAATAGATAGCTCTTTGGTTCTGCACCAATTTTCTATCGTTTTAATAGTTTTGCATGTTCGGTCCCAGAATGTTGTCGATCGAAGCAGGCATTCCTTCTGAAGATGTGACACGTTCTCAAACTCCATATCAATCGAGTTCATTTCGTAGCTGTAGAATTTGATTTAAGTGTCAAATCTAATTTATATTATCAAATTACATCAGACTAAGCATTTTTACTATCAGGTGTTTCAAGTATTGCAGGGTTATTGTATTGATCAGTGTGTTACTGCTGGTTACTAGACTACTAGTTACTAGGTTTCTTCTCATGGGCAACCATGGGGATTCGATAGATTCCTGAGCTGGTGGTTACTAAGTTACTGGGTTACTAGGTTCCTGGTTACTAAGTTACTAGGTTACTTGGTTACTTGTTACTAGGTTACTGGTTACTAGGTTAATGGTTACTAAGTTACTAGGTTACTTGGTTACTTGTTACTAGGTTACTGGTTACTAGGTTAATGGTTACTAAGTTACTAGGTTATTTGGTTACTTGTTACTAGGTTACTGGTTACTAGGTTAATGGTTACTAGGTTACCGATTTCTTGGTTACTGGTTACTGAATTTATCAGAGAGTACCTGACTTTCATTGAGACTGTCGCACACTCCATGTTGCTACCATCACACGTTACCATCTCCGGGGCATCACAGTCAGCTGAAAGGGAATAACATTACAGAACCCCACTCCAGACACATTACAGAACCCCCTCTAGACACATTACAGAACCCCCTCTAGACACATTACAGAACCCCCTCTAGACACATTACAGAACCCCCTCCAAACACATTACAGAACCCCCTCTAGACACATTACAGAACCCCCTCCAGACACATTACAGAACCCCCTCTAGAGTCTAGACACATTACAGAACCCCCTCCAAACACATTACAGAACCCCCTTTAGACAGTGGCGTAACGTTGTCTGTTGGCGCCCCCCGCTGAAAAAGTGCCCCCCCCCCCCCCCCCCCCCCCCCCCCCCCCCCCCCCCCCCCCCCATCCCTGTTAGCACCCCTCCCCTTTTGGCGCCCCTCCCTAAAATTAAACTGTAAACAAATTAGATTATGATTACTTTTAGAGGATACGCCGGTAAAATCTCTAAAAATGTGTTTCTACAGCAAAGCGCGCAGTTTTGCTATTACCCCTTCACACTCGTACTATCATTAGTGAATTACTGAATCAAATGAGCAGAAAATAAAAATCATTACTAGTAGTACTAGTAATGATTTCTTTATTTAGTATACAAATCTTTAAAAATATTTTTACACGATTTAACAAATTTTTTGAATGAGGAAACAGTAAAAGCTTGAAAAACAAAAGGCCGGGAAACCGAGGGCCGAAATCGTAACAAATTCACTCATACGAAGCAAAGAAGTTGCAAAGAATTGAACACGCGATGACACTTACCTCCAGCTGCTCGTTACTAGGCTACTGGTTACTAGGTTACTAGGCTACTGATAACTAGGTTACTAGTAATAATTGTAATAATTTTAGTTACGTGTTGATAATCTAGCTCTCTTATTTCTATTTTATCGCTACATTACAACTGCCGTTGTACTGGTACTGCGTTTTTTATTTTATACAAGTACACGATGAAGGAAAGGGCCAAGGATACTCTTCAAAGATTGTCAAATTACTGTCGCTACATTACTGAAGAGCATGAGGGCTTTAACGGGGGCCACGCCCAAATGCAAACAATAAGACTGTCTCGGGTCTCCTGAATCCTGTCTCAACTGTATAGTTGTATGTGGTGTCTATAATTCAAGTGTACTTTTATTACCAGGGCTTAGGGCTATGACCAACAAATTTTATGTTTTACTTTTAATTCTATCTACACAGGAGGGGCTAAGTGCAAAGAAACTGTTTCTAACTGCTGCTAACTGCTGATCACTGCTGCTCACTCACTGCTACTAACTGCTGATCACTGCTGCTCACTGCTACTAACTGCTGCTCACTGCTGCTCACTGCTGCTGTCGCGCGCGACAGCAGCAGTGAGCAGCAGTGAGCAGCAGTGAGTAGCAGTGAGCAGCAGTTAGTAGCAGTGAGCAGCAGTGAGCAGCAGTGAGCAGCAGTGATCAGCAGTTAGTAGCAGCAGTGAGCAGCAGTGAGCAGCAGTTTCTTTGCACTTAGCCCCGCCTGTGGCTACCTTATCGGACCTTATTTGGACGGACATTATTGATGGTTTTGAATGCCTTCTAGCGTTCATATTAATGTCCGTTCATAATGATGTCCGTTCTGCAAACTAAACTGCTTGCTCTAACCAAAGCCCTCTCGCTTGCAGTAACGCGCGTTGTGAAACAAGCGCGTCACGCAGTACGCGTATACACATGGCTATGCATGTGTGAAGCTCACTGCTGCTATGGGCACGCGCGCGACAGCAGCAGTGAGCAGCAGTTAGTAGCAGTGAGCAGCAGTTTGAGTTAGCAGCAGTTTCTTTGCACTTTGCCCCTCCTGCAGTGGACGGGGGTCACGTTGTAGGTTTACAACCTGGCCCAGTTGACGGCGCAGCAGGGTATTTTGGTTCAAGACTTTAAGGAATCGCAAAATTAGCCGTATTATTCCTCCAAACTTACGACTTAGATGGACTGTGATTAGCCCTTAAAATACAGCCTATACTTTTTACCTTATGATTGGGTTGTTATTCTAAACAAAATTTGTCAAGAAGTGTGGCTCAACGGTCACTTAATGTCACTTAGCGTCAATTATAGCGACCAAGGTCTGCGACCGGCTGCAACAGGTGCATATGATCTGTTCACGAGATATCCTTGTGTTTGGCTTGTACTAACTCTAATTGGGTATTTCGTCACAAGTCATGCGAATCGATACCAGATATTTATACATAAAACCAACACAACGCGCAGTTTAAAGACTTTCGGTTTCATTTTAAAAAGCATCCACTTTGACAAAGCATAACTCGCCATCAACCCCTCCCCCCCCCCCCCCCCCCTTTGCAGCTTCTTTGATTCACGATGTCAATCCTTCGCAGCTCGGTGAGGCACAGTGGTGCATCTCGCCGATCTACCGAAGGTTGCGAGAAGCATTATTTGATGCGCGCGCGACCCAGTAGTGCATCGCGCTACAACAGCTTCTCGGCTATCTCATACCCAGCAATCCTTACTGGCTAGCAATATTACTACAGGGTGATCGCCTTTTCACAGCATGTTGAACTCCGCGCGCGCTTGCTAGTTCATTGCATTTGCACGCTCCAAATATTCCAAGAATGCAATTGTACCGCGTACCACGTGATACGATTCAGCCAATCAGAGAACAACAATCTGCAAAGTTAAAGCTACGCAGTTTTATAAGGCCTAAAATATGACTTTTCGCGATAATTCAAAATCTACGTTGTTTTCAATTTCCCCCCTGGGGGGGAAACGTTATTTTTGCGAAACGAACATTTTGCAAAAAACCGGAAGACGCTATCTCTTTTACTTTCAAAGTTAGGCTCCAGCCAGTAAGGTTTCTTGGGTACCAGGACGCGCGCCGAGTTGGACTCGTCCGCGTCGACGGTCCAATATATGGAACAGATATTTTACGAGTATCACATTCACCCGTTAAGGGTCACGACGTGATACAACGTATGTCAACTCTTACTGGGCGGCACTCAGCCTGTCATTCCGCCTAATCTTTATTCGGTATAATGTTTATGAACATAATAGCCTGGGGATCCCAGCTAGGTAAGTCAACTCGAGACAAAATTTCACAAAAAATAAGGGGGAACTGATTGTAAATTTGATTCACGATGTCAATCCTTCGCAGCTCGGTGAGGCACAGTGGTGCATCTCGCCGATCTACCGAAGGTGGTTGCGAGAAGCATTATTTGATGCGCGCGCGACCCAGTAGTGCATCGCGCTACAAATTGTAAATCTTAACTGTTAACGAAGAATATAAATTTATCTACTAAATCAGAAAAAAATTATCTCCTAAATCAGAAAAGGATCTTGGAGTTCTAACTACCAGAAACCTGGACTGGAGTGACCATATAGATAAGTCCGTGAAAAAAGCAAAGTCTGTTATAGGCTGGATCAAACGAAGCTTGATCTGCCGTAACAAATTTGTTATGCTATATTTCTACCGAGCTCTAGTTCGACCTCACATCGAATACGCTGTGCAAGTGTGGAATCTACCAGCAGAGCACGGAAACTGGAGGACTATTAAGAAGATAGAAGATGTTCAGAGAGATTTTACACGAATAATCGACGGGATTGGTATCCTACCATACGATGAGAGACTGAGAATCCTTCAGTTAACAACACTACTGAAGCGCCGTATGAGGGGTGATCTTATTGAAACCTTTAAAATAACGACGGGTAAAGTGGACTATGGACAAGATCTTTTCAGGATATATCACGTAGCGGTACCAAGATCCTAAAAGATAAAAGAGGAAATCAGGTCCTCAGTAACCGTGTTGCCAATTACTGGAACAAAGTACCAAGTTCGGTTAAAGAAGCCAGTTTAGTAGACGCATTCAAAGCTCGACTTCAATGTTATAAAACTGAACTGATAGCGAGTGGAGCATCGTCAAAGGGTCACTTCTGGGATCTCGGCGAAACCGGCCTTGATGTCAAAAATAAATACATGTGACCATGATTCATATGCATATTTCATGTCTAATAACCCATTGATTGCCAAATACCGTGGAATCAATGTTTCTTGATTGTTAATTTCAGAACTACATGTTAACGTCCTTAAAATAATTAATCATTACATATTCCGGATAGGAACATTTTTCTTTTTTATAAATATTGTGCGAACTGCAATAGCGTAGAGTGCAGTTGGGTTTCAAGTTTTGTCGAGATGGCTATGTGGCCATAATCCTATTATTATTATTATAAAGGGTCTCAATAAGAGGTCTCGACTGCCTAGGCGTCAAACCTTGGCAGTCGGTAGTTTCCCTCTGGCCCGGGATCAGCTGACCCTAGGGACCAGAGGGTAAAGGTGTAGAGGCTATGTGTATCTACAAATCTTTCGAGGTTGTTTTTACAAGAGACAGGGCTTGCTACGCAAGGGAAGAAAACCGGGAGAAACAATCACAAATTATACAAATAAATATTATAAAACCTAGCAAAAAGAAATTCAAACAATCCTACACTACTACAAATGTTTATTA